GGCACCCATTGACAGACAACTTTGTAAACCATTTGGAAGCAAGGAGACCTTTGAGGTTTCCAAGGTTTCTAAATGTTTAAAATTATTTCATTTAAAAAGAGATAAAAGTCTCGGCGTTGATCAATCCCTGAGGAATGCGTCATGCATTTGACTTCGTTAAGTATCGTTGGACGTAATTGAATGCATATCTGGCCTTTACAACCACTTGCGGTGGCCTACCGATGTATCGAGCCAGTGCTGCTTTCCTCCCAGCCAAATCTGGTACCAATCTGCCGACCCCGGAGGGATGGAAGACTTGGTGGGCCATGGGCGCGGGAATCTACTCCACGTGTGTGTCGCAGTGGCGCCTCGAACCACTGCGCCACACGCGCCCTATTTCCCAAATAAACTGTGACTAAATAAACTCCAATGCATGAGAATACCTTGTTCGTCCACCAAAAACGCTACTGGGAATGGTGTTTCGAGTAAACTGAGGTCACTAATGGTAGGACTTCAAGGCAAAATATGTTGCGGCCTTGCCAATGTGGAAAAGTATCTTTAAACGGTTGATGTGTGATATTTGTGAGCTTACAGTTCAGCATTAGTACGACATTGCCATTATATGATGAAGTAAAACAAATGTCTTCATTTAGGTATTCGTGAAGATGCACTATACTAGACAAAAAGCTTAGGGAAATGAAGATGTTTGGTCGATAGGTGAACGAATACAACGTGAAGCAATAGTATGCCTCCATGAAATTATGAAATGATAGCGACTGTCGGATGAACTGTGGGCGGCAGAGGGTCAAGTGTACACCAGCGTAATTCGACCTCAAGCTACCTAGTAAAGAAGCTACAGCGATCATTAGATCGCTGTTCTCACGTTGTTGTATGTCTTCCTTGACACATTGTTACAAGTATTTCATTGTTTATGTTCCATCGTTTCTGATACTTTGCTCTTAGCAATAGCAACAAAATCCTGCCAGCACTAAATCTTCTTCGCGATCCGTTCTACTTCCATGTATAACTCTCGAGACTAATTTTTCGGAAATGGACACTGATTTACCGATTACTAGAATATTCCAGGAGTTCAGAAATACGTAAATCTATAGGGTACGCTCCACTCCGCAACGTTAAGCGTACTTGTGGTCTTTATAAAGCATTCTTTCCAACAAAATTTGTTAAGAGCCGAATTTCTTTAAAAAACTGAAGACCAAATGCGAATTTTCAAAACCTTGGGAGCAAGTGCTTCAGTCGCAAACGTTAACGGTACGTTAGGAAACAGTAGTGGTGGACGAAAAACCGATACCTAAATTGCTTTCGCGTTCAGAATGAGAACCTTGACCCAAAGAAAATCGAAAGAACTGTATATATTGGCTCCAAAAAATCATTCCATCTTGGAAGAATAAAAGGTATTTTGTCTTCTGGAAGAGCTTTATAAGTTTTAATAGTCTTCATCGCAATTCTGAAAATGCACTATACGCCTAGATATGCCGATTAAAAGTTGGAAGCACCCATCATTTTTGTTTCTAATGCGTAGCATTCAATATACGTTGGGCATAATGTGTTAAATGTCGAGGACAAATTTCTCATTGTGACGATATGGCTCTTCATCGACAGCGTATCATCATGACGCGCTCGAGGAATTGGGAGGTGGTATCGTAGAGGCGTGGTCCTGGACAACCTTTGCGCAAGTGCTGTGGTCTCTGTTATCATCTAAGGGAATGTTGTAGTCATTTTGACTGTGGTGCTTGATCCCAATTGTGTTTGAACACCTTCTTTTACTTGAAAGACTTAGATAACATAATTTTAACCCTTTTATTTACTGCCTTTTTCTTTTTAATGGCAGGATATGTTGCGAAATATAACTCGTATATAATGCTGAGATATTTGCAAAACTCCGGACCGCAGGTGTATGCGGTGGTGAACAAACACGCGCTGTTGTCCTCACCGGGGAGCAGCGCACTTCACCACCACACCATCCGGGTCCTTCGCTTTGCATGTATCTCAGCTAGTTCTATCGATCTTTTTGCCATCAGCAATCACCCGTCAACATGCAAAGCGAAGGACCCGGACGGTGTGGTGGTGAAGTGCGCTGCTCCCCGGTGAGGACAACAGCGCGTGTTTGTTCACCACCGCATACACCTGCGGTCCGGAGTTTTGCAAATATCTCAGCATTATATACGAGTTANCCCAAATTGGCATTGAACCCAGTTAAGCTGAGGCTTAGTTATAATCACAATCTTAACCCTTTTATTTACTGCCTTTTTCTTTTTAATGGCAGGATATGTTGCGAAATATAACTCGTATATAATGCTGAGATATTTGCAAAACTCCGGACCGCAGGTGTATGCGGTGGTGAACAAACACGCGCTGTTGTCCTCACCGGGGAGCAGCGCACTTCACCACCACACCGTCCGGGTCCTTCGCTTTGCATGTTGACGGGTGATTGCTGATGGCAAAAAGATCGATAGAACTAGCTGAGATACATGCAAAGCGAAGGACCCGGATGGTGTGGTGGTGAAGTGCGCTGCTCCCCGGTGAGGACAACAGCGCGTGTTTGTTCACCACCGCATACACCTGCGGTCCGGAGTTTTGCAAATATTTCAGCATTATATACGAGTTGGATAACATAGTTTTTCAAGGCACTGAATACATATTCTTGGAGCATACTACTTTTATAGAAGTCGTTTCTGTCTAAGCCTGCTGCTTTTTCCCAGGGGAAGAACAAAGATATTAGCTGTCGACAAGGAAAGGAGAATGTGTTATTCATCAAATTTATGCACTCCAGAGTGTTCCTCGAACTGAGCACTTCATCATACGTCGACCAAGATCTCTTCGATTCCAATGTCAAATTTGCTGTTAATTCTTTAATGGACGATTTGAACCGATGTGTTAAGATAACTATGCGTGGGGACACAGTTAAAGAAAAGTGGAGGAATGCAGCAAAAGCGTCAGTTCTTTCGAAGCCACGGAATCTTGAAAGGTAGTAAGCAAAGCAATTTTACTTGGTAACACAAAATGGATTCACAGTGTTTTCTGAGTAATCAGTTTCGATATTCGGGACTTATTCCTTTGGTTCTACGCGGATTCTTCTTTGAATTTATTATTTCTCTTATCCCCTTCCAGACCCCTTTTTTAGTCCTTGTGCTCCATTCGGTCCAGTGTAATGTTTAATCAGGAATTAATTTAACTGTGCCTTCCAATCCTCCTACTTTGTCTGAATTTCTCTTTTTATTACATTTTCAACAATAGTGTTAGTCTGAAGTCATAGCTCATCACTACACTTGCCGCAGTCATCTTTCTGGTGATTATACGGTGATTCTTTCGACCTATAATTGTTTTCTCCATCCTTTGGGTCATTCATCGTTTCCTCTGTTTATATTTTATATAAACAACATTGTATTCTTTTTTTATGTTTCAACTGGAGATTACTAGGACTTACTTCTCTTGCTTGCTCACCTGACAGAACTAATAGCAAATATTTTACGAAAAAAGCGCTGAAAAGTGTGTTTTGTCAGCAGACAACCAGACCGTATGGCATATTCGGGCTTAAGAAGGTAAACTGCGGTAAAAAAGAAACTAATTTTACTACAAAGTCGCTTCTATTTGGTAATTCCACCTTTTCCCATTCCTTTTTTAATTCATATGTCACTTAATTTACAGCAAATTCTCCGTTTCTCTCTCTGTCTCTATGTCTCTCTCTTTGCCTCATAGTTGTGTTTTAAACAAATAAATAAACACGCCTTTTACTGTGACTTTCCAGTGCTTAAAAAATGGATCGTTGAGGAGTTAAGACGGGAACACTTCCAATAAACAGAGCAGTATTCGATGCTAATTCAGTCAATGAGAAGCGCCTCCATCCTACTAGACAGCCTCGTCAAAGCTCCATAATCCTTGTCCTCGTTTTATGCGTTCTCCTAATACTCACCATTTCATCACACTTTACTTTTACAGGGCTCGCGGTGATCGTACTCAGGCGATTACCACCCTTGCAGCAACATATGAAGCTTGTGAATAGTGTGTTTTGGTGTTTCCTTTAGGTTGATTTATCCGGAGATCATTGACTACGTTGCATTCTCTGCTCAAAAGTCACCTACAATCACACTTTGTGATTTCCATTCTTGGTTCAGCTATGTGATGCCGGAAAACACAATGCCCTCGTAACGAATCAGAGCTATGGAAGCATATCACATTTCAGCGTGCTCACCTAAGAAATGTGGAAATTGTTCGTCCGTGCTCTAGAAGCGCTCCATCTCGCTAGTTTGTTAGTTGTAACCAATCATCAAAGAAGGCAGAATACGATAATCCTCTTCAACTGTCCTTAGAGTAACGGCATATCATTGAAGCCTAATCCTGAGCGACAAAGTAATGAAATCGATTTGCCGATTTAATCGTCATACAGCTCCATTGTTTTCTCCGTCTCACTATTTCATGTAACCGTTGTTGTCAGTTATCATCCGGAATCGACAATTATTTCAGCCGAAAACTATCTGCTATGTAAAGAAAGACATCGGTGTCAATGATTTGATACTATTCATTAGTCGTTTCTGGAAACCTTTGGCCACTGCTTTCGCAGCTGCGTAGCTTTAGCAACTGCTGGATAGCAATGGCATAATGGGCTCCAGTGGTTACCTTCTAAATATAAAGTCCTTCACAATGAAATTCAGGTCAATCAAAAATAACAATCGTCTTTTTTCCTACTTGCATAGGTTTTGACACAATTCATATTTCCACAAATTTGGTGTTTGCCCTCGTCCCAAAGGTGTTGTTGTCCATGAACATCCAACATTTCCTGTGCTATACTCTTTACGTTACGCTTCACAGAGTTCGCATAGAAGATCGATGGCTTGCGATGTAATGAAAGACCCTCCATTATCAAATAAACCACTATACCAGTAGTTTTCATTTAAAAAATTTTCTACCGCTTTGCAATTTTTTCTTTGTGTGCCACTTCTTTGCTGATTTCATTAAAACAACGTTGACGGAGAAATGAGAACTCGAAAAAAGCGGTTCAGATGCTGACAATCTTCCTTCCATGGTTCCCGATCCTACTTGGATGGATTCTGGTTGCATCCTGTCATGACACATCTCGGTACGACAATTCTGTGATCCACACGTTTGACACCATGGAAATGTGCATGTCACGATGTCGTACAATCTGCTCTCAACATCATTCAGAAGATCTTATGATGCCTCGGTGGCATTGTCCCGCTCAGGTATGACCTTTTACATCTTTATCACTTGAAGTTATGCTTTGCGGCTCTTTCAAGCGAACGTTGATACTGCTGGAAGTTTATTACCTTGTCGTTCACTAAGAATGTTCCCAGCACTTTGTGAATTAGCACTACCCGATTTGTTTCGTTTTAATATTCCGACTATTCCTCCTTGGTAGATCGATAAGCTCTTAAATTTTAGAGGAGTTGTGCTTGTATATTTGCGCTAAAACAATTTTATTTGTGTATTTACGCCAAAACAAGGGGTAAGAACTGGCTTTATGTCCAGATTAGGTGGAGTGGGAGCTTGAACAAAATAGAGTAATTCACGAATGTCCTCTGCTGTTCAAACAACAGACGAATTTTATGAGTGTTGTAAAGAAACCAAATGTTCTACTAGCTGATTTTTCGTATCTGTGGAATGTGCAGGCTGTAATCACATTTAGAACACATGACTATCGTGTAGGTGCTACTTACGCAGTCGTCCCTAAAAATGTGGTTTCCGGTTCTCGGAAATTGCATACTGATTCGCGCTTTCTTTATCAACGACTAAACGAGAAGCGGGAATCAACAGCAATCGGACATTATTTTCGTGCACGTCCTACAAGACGAAACTTCCTTTCATGTATTGTGCACTCTTCCTATAAAATGTTTTTACGTTCGACAGCTTTGCAATTTGCCATTTCACGTCCACTTATCTATGGAATGTGGCCTAGTGGTTAAATGGGACATTATATCTGAGAAATATAACGATAAAAAGGATGGAAGCGATTAAATGTGAAGTCGGCAGGGAAAGTTAGCATTTGCGTCAAGCTATTAGGAAGTTGAACCGGAACCTCTATTTTACAATAATGAGCACTAACGATTTATTTCAAACGCTCTTCTTACAAAGTAGCTTTAAATTATAGACCACTTCAAAAATGATGTCAGAATCTAGTGTGTTGAAAAAGCATATATTTCAAAATCTTTTTTCCCATTTACCATAGGGTTTTGATGCTCTCCTGATATATGCTGCTGGAAGTGAGGGAAGCAGTCTTTTATTTTCTTGAGTACTTGATAAAAATATTAGCAAGATAGCATGTTGATGGAAACAAGTGGATCCTAACAATTTGTTCGAATTCTAGAAGAAAATTGGCGAATTCCCACTGTATATGACAGTTAAAGGAGAAGCCGTAGTAAACTTTTTCTTAGCAAATCTTCCTCTATGTGAATTGCTCATTATACTGAGCATGAATGGCTTTTTGGAACGATTCCATGGCAGATTCCATCTCACATTTCAGAAGGAAGAAACGTTGTGGTGACATATCTGTAACTTTCGCGAAAATTTGAAAGCAGATGAATGCGGCTTGCATAGTAATCGGAGAAAATTTGTGAATAGTCTTTTCCAATGTTGTTATGGACTCAATAGCTGTTCCGCCTAAACGTCGCCGAGGCTTTCCTTAATTGGCGAAGTTTTGCAATCGTCTTACTTTCACCTGTACGGCTGGTGCAAATACTATTCTCTCCTTATAATATTTTTTATGGCCTTTAGCAGAACTTTGAATGTTTAGACTTAGTTTTGCTAATCCCTCCAAATGAATTTTTGCAAACAAAGTTCTCTTGATGGATTTCAAACTGTCGGCCTTCCTAATGCTCATATAAAGCCATTTAAATCAACGATGACAGGTCTTATATCAAGTATGTTCTCAATTAAATATCTTCATGCCCACGTAAATTCTGTCGATGTCATCAACGTTGTAGTTTAATGTTGGAGCTTAGATTATGACAATTGTTAAAACCTGTATTAATTCACATTTTTTCATTCTTCTGATTGACATCGCCACTTGTTCACAGGAATCCATGTTCGTGGCCAATCTTGTTTTGAAAGAGACACCACACCAACAACTTTTGCCTTATTTGAGTTTGTTGAGAAACAGTTCCAATACATGAAACAATATTAATATAGCGCTCCTTCAGGTGTGGCGTGTTTTACTGTATGGTAATATTCTATCATCTAATCTTAACTGCAAAATTCTACTACTAGGTGTATGCATTCTAAGTGCATACTTTCATTATATTCCGTCCAGCTTTTGATGGCAAAAAAAAACTCAGATTAAACTGGTTTTGCTGTTAAATCTATGTATTTTCCAAGGCCATTGATGAGGACCATTTCTTTAATTGCTTTCAACTACTCATGAACTACCCATGATTCGGATCATCGGCTCCGATGGGGATGAGGACATCGAAACGTTAGCCGAATAGAACTATCCTATCAACCTCAAGTAAGCTCAATAATTTAAACACATACCATTGCCAGTCTCTGCGTGGGTGCTGCAGATACTCATTGATCACTCGTTACGCCATTCCACTGTGGATAGGTGGATAGTCCTCTTTCGAAGCTTATTTCTTGCGTGCTACTCTGAAATTCCCCTCTGTTCTTCGGTTACGTCACTTTAAAAGATTTTAAACAAATCAATATGCGCAATGCTGTGGCCATCATTGAACACTCATGAAGGCGTTTATAAATGTTTATATACTTATGAATGGCGCAAATGGTCATCATGTAGACTTTTATTATTCAGTCATTCAATATTTTCAACTACAATGTGCTGTATCACAGTCTGTAAAGCCATGTTTTCCACCGTTAAAATCAGGTTTTTTAATTCAATGATGATGCAGAGAGGGAGAGAGAAAGAGAGACAAAGAGAAAGAAAGAGAGAGAGAGAGAGGGTGAAAGTGAGTTAAAGTGAGCTCCTTTATGAGTTTAGGGCAATGAAATGGTGTGAACAGCAATTTTATCCTTTGCTACGTATTTATAACTAATACACTCATCGCCTCGCATTTTCATGAATTTCTCAATTCATAGTGAAAGATCTAGGATTTCTCTTTACGCATCAGTAAAAAGGGAAAAGTGGTCACAAGCTCACTGAAGGTAAGTAAAATGTGGCTTTTCACAAGGTAAAGAGCACTTTGCATTTTGTTAACATTTTGAATTAGAAAAATGCATGGTAGTATCGCAGCACAACATCTATCCGATGGTGTATTAACGAAACTGGCTCAACACTTATTGCATATTTAGAAAATTAGATTGATTCTCTGCATACTTCCGCTTCACGCATTCTAGTAGCTACGATGCTTTGCATATTACGACGAAGAACAGTGGACAGCAAAATTCGAACAGATTTGTGCACTTCACTTTTTCGTTTGTAGCTTGTGAGAAAATGTCATTACATCTACGTTGTTACTCAGCAGAACCAAACCACTAGAACTTGAAGGAACTCTAACGTTACGTAGAATCTAAATGTTATAGAATGTCGTCGAAAAGAATGTGTCCATTCATAAATGAACTTGTTGGTTGTTCTTTCGAGATACGGTAACCCCTATGAGGATTTGAAAAGAATCAACAAAGCATCTTAAAGTTTTTTAATAGGACACTGATGCTATTTTATGAGAATATTTCGCTTTTTACTTGCCTGTAATGTTCATATCTATGATTTGAAATGGCGCTAATCCCTCTGGCTTGCAATCGGGAGAAATTCCATAAAATTCCTATAGAATTAGAAAAGAATTTAAAGAAGGCAAAAAAATGCTTTAACCATCTTAGCTATCATTTCGGTACAAGATTTTCTATAAAGTAACTGTGTGATGTTGGTGACAACCGTGATGAGAAGCCATCTTGCTGTTTTGATGGCAGTATCTTCATAATAATGATAGCACCTATCCTTTTGTACAGACTTTCAAGGTGAATAGACGGCTAATTTCCCTGGGTATCCCACTCTTCATTACTGCTAAGATTTATTAACTGTTTTAACAACCAAATGCTCATCAATTGTTCAAACTCGATCTAGTCTCCACTTTTACCTGATTTTTCATTCGACTACATCTGTTTTTGGATATTTTCTGCTTAAGCTCTTCACTTCTGCAAAATGATAGAAGTATAAATGCATAGTGGCATTATACCATTTATTTTCCCACAGAATCTCACGTTTCATCAGATTTTGCCTTATTCAGAGCCTAGAATTTCAAGCTAACTTCGGCCTAGTCAACCCAATACCCAATAGCGTCATTACCTGAAGAGAATAACCATAATACCTAGGTTTCAATCACGTTGAGAATAAAACAGCTTCACCACAGCCTCATCATTTTCTATGGGTTTTTTAATGAGTATTCCAAGTGGATACTAACGTACAGAATTCATATGGGTAGGTAATTCACTTTTCTGACATTATAATATCAGGTTCAGTTATTGTATGAGATCGAGCGTGATAAGGAGGAATTCCCTTTGAGGTCAATTTTTGGGTCCCTGTTTTATCTACAATGCCTCGAGAGTGCTTAATGTGCTGAAGCTTCGGATTCTTGTGAAGAGATAATCACTTCTACATCAAAATTTTCAAAATTCTGCTTAATCAAAATTATGTCTCCTACTCCCATAATAGCCTTGTGTTTTTTACCCTTAGATTTACCAACTAGGTTTCCTTCATGCGAACACATACCGGATTCGCCAATGTATTCGTCTTCATATCCTTTACAAAAGATTAACAATGCTGTACACGAATCCATACAATTGCTCTCTCTATCTTTAAGGTAAAGGGCGCTTGTGGCGCAGTGGTTGGAGGCACCACTGCGACACACACACGTGGCATCGCCCATGGCCCACCAAACCTTCCATTTGTCTGGGGTTGGCAAGTTGGTACCAGATTTGTCTGGGAGGATAGCAGCACTGGCTCGATACCGATACATCATCAAGGCACTGCGAGTCATTTTAAAAGGCCAGATATGCATTCAGTCACCTCCAACGACACTTAATGAAGTCGAATGCATGCCGCATCCCTCAGGGATTGATCAACACCCAGAGCTTTATTTTTTTATCGTTAAGGTAAATTATGTGGTTTTTGGTTGCGCATAGACAATTATAAAAAAGGTTGATCAACTCAAAATTAGACACCAATGACTACCTATGAATGAGAAATGGTACAATTCACTCTAACGGCGGGTAAGGCGGATGCATGAGTTCGGGTTCGGGGTACCAA